ACCTTTCATTGCTCAACTATGCTTACCTACTGCACTTACTGTACCTATGCACTTACTGCATCTCTGTATGGTTTGCCAATTGCACAGTGTCAGATAGGAAAGCACTCCAGAGGGTTAACATCATTGCCCAGAGGCTCATTGGTTGCCCTCTCCCCTCTTTGGAAGAGCTTTATAGCTCCCATTGCCTTAAGAAAGTTCAAAACATTCTCTGTGCTGTCCAGACAGTTTAGAGTTAATGGGATTTGGGATAGTTACTTAGGAATTGTGAGCTGTCCTCTTAAGGGAATGCATCATGGTAAATGTAGTTAAAGGTATCCTGGGAAATGTACTCCATGTCACGTGACCACATCTGTAGTCCTGATTGGTCACTATAGTGACCCTTGTTGGGTTGGGGGAGGCTCCCTCACTCTTGCCTGAAACCACCATTTCATACCATGCTTCAATCATCATGGGGTCGAGACCTTTTAATCTTTCTATACTACAAGACGGATATACAAAGGATTGGACATTAAGAACTTCGTCACAAATGTGAGTTATGAGGATACCTGATGAACCAATAAAAAAGACTTTGTTATGGATGTTTTGTGGAGTTACTCTTTCTGCTTTATACCATCCAGAGAATAATATGCAGAAGATTCTCAAAGATCATCTCACCCTGGGCACCCTTTTTTTGAACTATTACCATCTGGCACACGGTACAGAATAATAAAAACAAGGACAAATAGGCTGAAAAACAGCTTCTATCCCAGGACAGTAGCTCTTTTGAATTCTGCTGTATAGTGCAGTATTGGTGTGGTGTTGGGGGTTTCTGGTTCAATGTGTGAAGGGTGAAGGATGTGTGTTTGTGTTTATTTTCATGGTCATGGTCATGATGTACACTGAAGATGGTGTTTGATTTCATTGTACGAGGTGCAATGAAAATAAAGTAAACTAAATTAAACTATGGACTGAGACTAAACTGGATGTGAGGTTAAGTTCACTTGCAGGATTGCAGGGTTTTTAAAACAGTATCAATAAATCAATACAAGAGGGATAATTGATAATTTTCTGGATCATAGCAGGAATGTAAATTGCATTGGAATCACAGGAAATTCCCTCCTATGAAGCTGGAATTTATATCAGGAAATAATTCCCTACTGGTGTTACATCTGTGAGACACAGCAGCTCTTATACGCTGTCCATACATGTCTATCAGTGATTCCTACACCTTTCCTTAGCTTATGTTGTATTTGCACCATAGTTGGATTAAACAGGAATGGTGGAGGAATAAATGTTGTTGCAGTGGTTTTCAGTCATGCTGAACATGGTCAGTGATTCATGTTTCTGCAAAGGTTCTCAAAATCTCTTGTTGATAAGTGGGATGGAGATGGGAGCAATTTTGCTCACAAGCCAAACCAAGGTATAGATTTACTTTGAAGAATTGCTGGAGATGATGTGTGCTTTTTTTCTTTTTTTTTAAGCAAAGCTGTGCTTTCATTGTTGTCTCTTGGAAACACACAAAGCCACCTGTAATCAGGACGAAAATGTGACAGGAAGGATTGCACTAAGGGAAAGATACTTGAAATCAGTGTTGTAATTGAAAATAGACAAGTGAGTCTTTTACCTGAAACAACTTTTGTTGACATAAGAGTTGACAAGACCCCTTCTGACATTCTTGTTTCTTCAGAACAATCAAAAGTGTTTGCTTCTGGCCCTTTGCATCAGTGGCAGGATTCAATTTTTTCTACTACCGGTTCTGTGGGTGTGGCTTGGTGGGCATGGCAGGGGAAGGATACTGTAAAATCTCCAGTCAGAGGTGGGATTTTTCCAGTTCTCCGAACTACTCAAAATTTCTGGTTCTCCAGAACTGATCAGAACCTGCTAAATACCACCTCTGCTTTGCATGCTCTTACTGTATATAACTCTGTATAGAGTTATTCTGCAGCAATAGACAATAAATGCAAATATAAATGCAAATGAGAATAGACCTCTTTTATTGTTATAGACACATTTTATTTAGTGATCTGGGGATTTCCTCTTCAGAAAAAAAATTGGTGGATGATCACTGCTAAATAGTATCAGCGTGTGTTCTTGTGTCTGTCTATCTGTCTCTGTATGTATGATTGTTTGGTATGGTTGCTGTATTTTTGTCAGGCTACAGAACTTTTCCCATTCACTCAACTAGAATTAACTTCTGAAAACGTATCAAAACATATCAAAAAGAAATCCTTTATTGAGATGAGACAATTCATGTAGGAGTTCAAAGCAGCATCTGAGGTCTCTCAGGCATACAGGGATACATAAGGGAGTTTAGAACCCCTCCCCTTATCTCGATGTGTATTTAGTGAAACAAAAGCCAGCATGTTAATTCCTCCCCACCCCTTTTGTAAGGAACGATCTTTTTCACAGTTTCCCAGGGCATACCTAATTTCTCCCCCACCCCCTTTTTAGAACGAACTTTTCCAGAGATTCCCAGGACACATCTCACTGTGGAATTTTTATGGTCTCTTCATCTCCTGGCTGTGCCTCTTAGAGGTGATAGGTTCCGGCCATCTGGCTTTTCTCCCTCCATTGTATCATGTGTGGGTTATGCAAATTCAATATAAGATTAAATATATTCAGGTTACATCAAGAAAGGATTTCTTTATTAGTCTCCCTCCCTTTTCTTCTTCCACTGAAGAAATGACAGATACACGGATCTGACATCTTTATCCCTCGTGTCTTATTAATACTATGCTAAAAAAAGCACAGACTTTTGAAAACTGATATAAGCTACAGTGGTATTTCAGTACTCATTGTTAAGGTGCGATGAGTACCAAAAATGATGAGTACCAAATTTTTCCCATAAGGAATAATGTAGTGAGTCACAATGCAGCTGGCACTGACAAGTTCTAACTTGTGTGTTGAGTACCAAACAAATGATGAGTAGTGGGACAAAATTTTTGCATCAAAATGCATTGAGTACCAAATTCGACTAGTTTCAAAGTAGTTGAGTACCAAGGTACCACTATATTTGAAGCAGCTAGCTCAGCCCAGGCAAGGTCCTACCAGGCAATGAATACTTCAGCTTCAACCATAACAACACAAGAGCAAACAATAGATACAAACTCAAGGTTAATCGCACCAAACTTGATTGCAGGAAATACGACTTCAGCAACAGAGTGGTCAATGTCTGGAATACTCTACCTGACTCTGGTTTTTTTCCCAAACCCCAAAAACTTTAACTTTAGACTGTCTACTGTTGACCTCACCCCTTTCCTAAGAGGTCTGTAGTGGGTGTGCATAAGCGCACCAATATGCCTACCGTCCCTGTCCTATTGTTTCTTTTATTTTTTTTAATTTTTCTTATATGAATCCATGTATTCATAACTATGTTTTTACTTATACCTATTATCTTGTAAGCAATTGACAAATAAAAAATAAAATAAATAAATAAAAGGCCTATTAAGTAAACAAATGTCCTCTATTTATTTTTAGTATCTTCCTCCAGTGCTGGAAGGCTGATCAAAGTATACAAGGCATTTTCAAACAAAATAACTTTCTTGAAGTTAATCAACTATGCTATCAACAATTTACATCCAGCCTCTGCTGTAAGTATGTTAGAACTGAAGTTAAATCAGATTATATTTTCTTTCCTTATTTAATGGTTTTCTGCCTTTTTTCTTTTTTTTTCTTTTTTATGGAATCAGTCATAAACCACATAGTGTGCATTATCATTTCACAATATTGTTATATAGTCAATCATCTCTGGATCAATGTGACATCACAAATCCAATTAAGAGTAAAGACAATATTTGACTTTAGGCTAATGCCATGAACTTCTTCAAACACACACCCGCACACCCTAAGTGAAATTGAGATCTTTAAAAAGTTTAACGGTGCCTTTTCAAGAAAACCTACTCAAAGGAACTCAGTAAAAAAAATCAAATTTAAAAATCTGCTGCCTTCAGGGTTTACAGTCCAATACACTCCCAATTTGTTTATTTGTTTACTATATATTGCATACATTGCTCTTTTCTGAAAAAGGCTAAAGGGTGGTAAAACAAAAAGCCAAACTGTTTAATGTTAAAGTTCTTAAGTAACCCCAAACTGAGATGAATATTGTTCATGTAGACTGTGGTAGTAGAATAAGGAAGAGCTTCTTGGATTAGGCAAACAATTGTCAGAAGTGCTGAAGGAATATCTGAATTTCTTTCACTGGTTATAAATGGAATGGCATTGAAAAGGCTTGATTCAGCCTCAATGCTGTGCCTGATGGGTTTCATCCACTGGACTCAACCATCTCCTCTCAGCTCCAACATGAACAACCCTGAGTAACCCAAGGGGGCCTACACAAGTGCTTAACTACAAATCAGAGCATTTGTGGGGGAGACCCATTCAGCACTTAAGGACTCTAATGAACTTGCCACACCTGTTGCAACGCACAACGAGAAAAACCACATTCATTCATTCTTTCATCCATCCATGTTTAAAACTCCTTCCCAGCAGACGAAAAGTGAATCTTACACTGTATAGAAATTCGGCAGTGAAATCCACTCCATTGTTTCCCTCCAAGTCAGAAAAGGTCACCTATTGTTGAGAAGATAAAAGGTGTACCTGGATTGGAGAAAATGCACTGACAAGGGCAGGCAGATCCAGAAAAGAGGCAGGACAACACTCTCCTTTATCCACAAACAAAGAGGAAAACTCGTGGCGCACCAGAGGTCTATAGCAAAAACAATCTGATTTTTATTTTTATTTTTTATTTTGGTAGCCCTGGAGTTCTTTTCCATGATGTCGTGACAAAGTGCTGCAGTGAATAATCCTCCTAAAATGCCTGTGGCAGATGCATAATGCCTATGGCTTTGAATGGGCTGGGTTGGTTTCAAGGCCTTTGCTTAATCCGTTATGTACTACCCTGTCTCCAGTCCCTACTTGTTGCCAGGAACATGAGATCAAGGTGTGGCTGTACTAGCCATCCATAGCTCCTCTCGGCTTTGGCACATGGTGAAATCTGATCAAGGTCACTCCACAACACATAAGGATACCTTAAGTAAATAAAAAATTGAATTCCCTGTCAAGTGAACATCAGTTGGGAGATGCTCTGTCTTCATTCTGGCCTGAGGTCTCATGGCTTACTGTATGTATATTGTGTGGTTCTGATTGTATAAGTTTCAGGACTGTCTGGCTAGTTTTTTGTTTTTTCAATTCTGCGTATACATTTCAGCTTTCCCTACCTTGTAAAGAGATCCTTGTAAAGTTTATTCCTACCTTTGCTTTCATCTGTAAAACTCCTTTTTTGGATCTCTTTTCCATCCCCCACCCCTCTAAATTTTTCCTTCCAGGTCGCTGTGAATTCTGCTTTTTTTTTTTCTTTTCAGGTCTTTAGGTCAGCCATTCAGTGTTTTGGGATCAGGCCAACCAACTGCAGGGTTAGGAATGTTTTTTTTTTTTTTTTTTTGAAGATGTGCTTTCAGTGTTCGCTCCTGATGACTGCCTGGACAAGTTCCTTCAGTTTTCTTGGCAACGTTTTCAGGTTTGCCATTGCCTGCTTCCTAGGGCTGAGAGAGAGGGACTGGCCCAAGGCCACCCAGGTAGCGTTTTGCATAAGGTGGGACTAGAATTTACCATTTCCTGGTTTCTAGCCTGATGCTTTAACTACTACACCAAATTGGGTCTCTGGGACAATATGGAGAATGGCAAATAGTGATATTTAGAATCAGTATAATTCAGCTAGGCCTGACAGATCATCCCCATACCAGTACAGAAGCTCATGATACAGGACAGTGCAGTGGGTTTTTAAAATATTTGTGTATACAGGAAGGTCACAATTTCTGCAAGTATGAATTGTTCAATACTCAGTTTAATATAAATTATACATTGATATCAGGTCGCATTTAATGTGAGTCAAAACTCAGTCAATGGAAGGCTAGCATGTGTGCATTTGAGGCTAGTGAGTGTGCAGTTGTTGCGGTTTTAAACACCAATTTGTTGTGTATTCAGAATGGAGAGAAAAGGGATTCCATTGGACAAAAACGAAGAGGTTCAATTTAAGGAACTACAACAGAATATAGAAATGCTTTGGATATAGTTTTATCCTTAAGCCTGTCCTTTTTAACTATTTAAGTATGAGATATCTGTTTATCTCCATGATAGTAATGATATTTAGAATGTTATTTTGCTTTCTATAGTTACTCTATGTCTTGTAAAAAATAAAATTAATTTTAAGTACATTTTATCTTGTAATAGTTTACTGTTCTATTTCACTAATAAACATGCAAAATACTTTTTAAAATTTCATTTCTGTCAAGCTGGAATTGATTGTCATATTTTCCATAGAAATATGATTTTGAGTAGTGCAAATTTGAACAATGTCATCATTTTGTGGGCTATAGTAACTGCACTGATCAAGACCTATCTGTAGTAATCCATTAAATTACTTTAAACTGAAACATTAAGTTAAAACATTTTTATAAGTGCAAAAACTTTGCAAAGTATTCTTAATATGTTTTCTCCAAAAAAAGGTAACATATTTGTTAGGTGCTTTTTTGAGAATTATTTCAGTGTAAAAAGATTAATTCTCAGCACTTGCATAATACTTTTTAAAGTTCACAAGGCATCTCCTTAGTAATTATACTACCTGGGAAGAACCTGTGTTTGGCTGAATTTCTATTCCTAATGAAGGGCAGAGTGGGTTGAGAAATCAACCTATTTAAAATATGATAGTGAATTGAGAACTGTAGATGAAAGATAGTGATGTCTCTTAAATGCATTGATAAATTCTCTAGAGTGTTTAATTTCGAATTAAAAGCAGGGACATTGTCCAAATACATTTTAACAATCATAAATTGGATCTGGCAAACTATCAAGAATCAACAAAACCTCCTAAGTCAAACACCAACCTCTAAATAAATAATATCACCATAATCAATGCCTCTCTTATTTAGCTGCAAATTACTCTGAGCACATTAAAAAAAAGGCCAGTTTTTGGCTGTGGAGAAAAAGGGAGATTCTTTTTAAAGGAATTTTAAACTGATAGTTATTTAATTTTGTTCATATTATTTATAGTCTCCTTTATGGGAGAGTTAACTCGGAGGTTGGGAAAAGTAGAGGAGCAGCAACGAAGATAATTCTTTTGTCAAGGACAAGATCGACTGAAATAAGGAATGGAGAAAAGAAAAGCAATTCAAAGATCCTTTCCAAATGTATCTGCCTTCTCAATTTGCATGCAGAATTACATTTTCCTCCTAATTAGTGGGAACGCAAAGTACAGCTAGCCCTTGACTTACAACAGTTCGTTTTGTGACCATTCAAAGTTACAGTGGTGCTGAAAAAAGAGACTTATGACCATTTCCCACACTTATGACCATTGCCGCATTCCCCATGATCAAAAATTCAGACGCTTGGCAACTAACTCACTTTTATGATGGTTGCAGGGTTCCAGGGTCATGCGATTGCTTTTTGCGACCTTCTGACAAGCCAAGTCAATGGGAATTCACTTTGCAACCATGTTCTTAACAACTGCAGTGATTCACTTAACAACTGTGGCAAGAAAGGTCGTAAAATGGGGCAAAATTCACTTAACAAACGTCTCACTCAGCAACAGAAATTTGGGGGTCAATTGGGGTTGTAAGCCGAGGAACCCCTGTAGTCTTTGCATTAGATGTTCTGGTTTGCACAGAACAGCCTGAGAATGCTTGAGGTAAAAGTGAGCTTCGGTTGCTCCAGTGGACATACTGGTGTTAAAAAACTGGTGTTGGCATGGCTGTGACAAAATACAAACATATTGGTATTAGATGAATTTGGATACAGTGGCAGGTGGGAAAATGGGTGGCAAGATAGGCTCCGTTCTAGTCAGCTGACTTGTCAGTTAATGTGGTAAGGCAGCTCTAAGGCAGTAAGTGAGGTATATGTGGAGAGGCTGAGGCAGATTCAGTGGATACTTTGAGAATCTCTGTTCTAATGTGTTGATTTTAGTTCACAAAAATTAAGATTTGCTATCTTTATAATACCACAAGGTTGCTACAGGTCATACTTGCCAACATAATTGCCATATAAGTAGGATCAGTGAGTTGGATGTTTCCTACTGTAGATGTCATTTAGTCCAACTTCTGTTCAGCGCACAATCCAATAGAGTAGGGGTGTTAGGGTTTTGGGAATTAACCCCTAGCAGAGTATTTCAGCAGTAG